ATATGTCTGTTATTACATGATAATAGTTAAAAAAAAATTCTTGTATTTGTTGTTACTATTTAGCAAGGGTGGGCAACCTAGGCACACAAGTTGTGGTGAAACTACAAATCCCATAATGCCTCTGGCTCTCAGATGTCTTGGAATGCCTCATGGGACTTGGAGTTCCCAGGACAGTTGGCATGCTCACATTACCTATAGTGTCTTTGCTGAAGTCTATAGTGTTTCTGAGCCCCAGCAGAGGCATGCCACCCACTGACCGATCCTCTCCTCTGTCAGACATGCCCATTTTCAGCAGCGCAGGCCTACCCATGAAAAGATGATCTAATAGACCCCTGATGTCTCCATAAAAAGGACCTGTCACTGTGTCCGTGCTGTCACATAGGGGGGCTTGTTAGTCCTCTATGTATTATCAATAAAGGTAAGTGTAAAAAAAAAAAGAAAGTTACAAAAATGATAGTGACGCCTTCAATTAAACACATTTAACCAACACAACCTCCTCTTTTATCATTTAACCCCCCCCAAAAAACTTGGTATTGTATTGTGTTTATGTGAAAATAAAAATGTTCAATTAAATAGAATATTAACCCCTTCATGACCAGCGACATACAGTGTACGTCACTGGCATGGGGGCTGTTTACTTGCAGGCAGAACCCCTTCCACGCTCCAGATAGGAAAATGGCTTCTGGTCGGTGGGCACAATCTAGTGCCGGGTGAAGGAGGACTTTTTGGAGAACCACGTCCTCATAGAGAACAGGAAAACGGCATCTCACCAATGGGAGAGTCCCGAGCAATAATAACGGGAACCCTCAGATCATCATCCACTGAGAATGGGGAGGATCCATGTATGGAGGGGTCCAGTGATGACTTGGTGCCATAGATAGGTGGTCATGGTGGTCCCCATAATCTCATCATCTCCTACATTGCGACATCTGCTGCTTCCTCTATTTGTTGGATTCACATAACTAAAACTTTACATGGGGCCACTGAATTGTTTTTTTTGGAATTCGTTACTCAACAGAGCCAATTTTCACCTCTGATGACCAACCCTCCGTGAAGTTCCTTTGACAGGAACATGGCCACCCCTCAGGTTCTTGACCTGAATAAAGACACAAAGTGATTCTGATATTACCTGTTGTTACTAAGGGGGGTCACATCATCTACAACTGATGTGTTTTGCCAATCCCATTCTTCTGTATTTTGGGCCAACCCAACCCCATTCTTCTGTATTTTGGGCCAACCCAACCCCATTCTTCTGTATTTTAGGGCCAACCCCATTCTTCTGTATTTTGGGCCAACCCAACCCCATTCTTCTGTATTTTAGGGCCAACCCCATTCTTCTGTATTTTGGGCCTCCCCAACCACATTCTTCTATATTTTGTGCCAACCCCATTCTTCTATATTTTTGGCCAACCCCATTTTTCTATATTTTGTGCCAACCCCATTCTTCTGTATGTGGGGCCAACCCCATTCTTCTGTATTTGGGGCCAACCCCATTCTTCTGTATTTGGGGCCAACCCCATTCTTCTGTATTTGGGGCCAACACCATTCTTCTGTATTTGGGGCCAACACCATTCTTCTTTGGCGCCCTCAGAGAAGGCCTTTGAGTTTGATGCATCAGAGATAATCCTCGTTCTCACCCTTTTTTGTTGAATCTCAGTGCTGCAACCGCGATACAAAAACATAAGAAAAAACTTTGTTTTATTCAAAGTGTTTTCATTAACATAAATTGAACATTGGATTCAATAAAGTCGGTACAACTAACAGTATCTGTTGCTACTCTCTGGTCCTCCAGGTCTCCATGGCAACACCAGCAGGACCTATGGTAACCCATGATGCAGGCTTAAGAAATGAGGGTAAAATCACCTAATGGGGGGGGGCTTCTGTTCCTCTGACAACGACTTTGGTAAGATTTCCTGTTGCGTCTCCAGGACAGGAAGTAAAGGGAAACATAATCTAACTGGGCTTCTCGTCCTTTCCTACTCTATCCAAAATAGGGATGGGCTCAGGTTAGGACCGAACCTGAGCTCCTCTGAACCTGGAAGAAGCTCCGAAACACAGAAGGAATTTCCTTCGGTGCCGCCTTGGGAATTCCTCGCGTGACGTAAGCAAAGGGGCGGGAAGTGGTGACGTCATTGACCTGATATGGCTAACTGCCTATATATGGTCAATGGCGTTGACCTTTTACACCCATGTGGCCATATAATGTAAATGACGTCTCCACAGGCATTTGATTATGGCCAGCTGCGGGACGGGGAATACCCTGACCCACAGCTGATTGGGTGGGAGGCTTCCATGATGGGATGAGTTCCGGTTCAGACTGGGCTCTGTCCGAACCTGAGCTCATCCCTAATCCAAAACAAACTTATTTATTGAACAGAAACCCATTGGTTGAGCCCGGCTTGGAAGCCTTGCTCTATTAATGCATAGGGCCAGTATGAGACAAGTTCTACCTCCATGACCGGAATCACATGCTACGCACTAAGAAAGAGAAGCCATGGCAATGGTACCCACCCACAGCCGTGCTAGCCCTCATTCTAGAACTCCAAAGCGTTTGCTCAGTGTCGAGCTCTGCAAACGAGATCTGTGCCCCGCCCATTGTGGCCACTAGATGGAGCCGAGAAACACAGGAAATCTCTACGATCCTCAGCGCCATCTAGTGGCCACAATGTGCAGCGAATCTCATTTGCATAGCTGATCACTGTGTAAGCGCTTTATAAATCATCCCCCCATGTGTCTATAGGTGGTACCAAAGACCAAAAAAGGCAGGAAATAAGTCCTTGTGTGAATAGAGGATATTTCATACACGTGATTAAATCCGAGGGGCGTACAGGGCAATCCAAATCACAATGCGTCTAAATCAGCCAACCAGCTAGGGGTACCGGATCTCATTTGCATAGCTAATCACCAGGGCTTAAAAAATCCGCTCGTGCCGGACGAGTAGCTTGTAATTAAACGGCCGGCCGGGAGCTTTACATTCAAGCGAGCGGGCGTCTCTAGAGACGGCCAATCGCTTGTATTAGCAGCTGCTGTCACTGCCGTTGCCGGTCCCGGAGATCCGCTGTGACCGACATGGCTGATCTGTGACAGGAGATCAAAGGGAAGATCAGTACACGATCTCCCTTTGATCTCCTCTCCAGTCCCCGAATGCAGGAAGTGATGTATATTACATCACTTCCTGCATTCAGTGTCACTCTCCAGCTGCAGAAGCTGGGGAGAAGCAGATCTGTGCTTCATCAGCTTCTCTCAGGGTCCCTAGGTGACATTAGGGGACCCCTGATGTCTCCATAAAGACGACCTGTCATGTAAATTGGCTATCACATAAGGGGCTTCTTAACTTTATTGCTATCACGTGGGGGGCTAATTCTAAAAAAAATATAGTTCTAAAGTTTTTTTTAAAGAAGCATAAAAAAGTAAAACTTTTTTTTAAAGTCCCACGCCCCCACATACGTACGCAAACATGCGTCGGGCACGCCTACATGCGTCGGGCACGCCTACATGCGGGAAACGATTGCACCTATTGCGCCGCACATGTTACATATCGCCATGAACGTCGGAGTGTGAGGAATCATTTTAGGGCCATTAATCCCTGATAACACTAAACTGATGAGCAGTAAAAGCTTTAACAGCGTCGCCTATGGCCAAATTTCGGTGTGGCAGTTTTTTGCCATTTTGCGCACTTTTAAGGCTTGACATGTTTGGTGTCTATTTACCCGACGTGACCCCGTCTTTTATATTTTACCAAAAACATGGGTGAGAAATGTTTAACATAATGTAGGGAAAACTTTTTTTTTTAAATCGCACAGATCGCATTTGCATATAATGTGAATGACGTCTCCACGGGCATTTGTTTGTGGTCAGCTCCAGGGCGGGGAATACCCTGACCCACAACTGATGGACACTACTATGGAGAACCAAGTGCACAATCAAAAGGCATTCAGGATATGGACTGACGCTCTATCATCTGCTAAAGCAACAGGATGGTCTTGACTCTCCGTAGAGGCACCATCTTTCTTTACGAGAACTGATAAGTCTCCTGGTACCAGAACCTGAAGGCATGGCCTAGTTCCAAAGTGCTACCACGGTAAGGGTTTGGCGTGACATGGGTGGAAATGTGGCCATATGAAGGTCAGCAAAACAAGGGCACTGAAAATTTTACAGAGATTCTGGTCACCAGGGGAAGAAACAAGGGTAACGGGCCATTCCCTTATGCCAAATGCAGGTAGCCCAAATAAATTGACTCATTGTGCCTTTGAGGGCATCATGAACTTGGACCCCAGTAACTTAAAAAGAACCAGTCATTAGCTTGGTAGCTTCAAGAGGAAAGATTGTAAGATTCTGTATCTGCTCCGGTTTGGTGTGATTTCCCCCCATGACCCCTTCAGCCGGCGGGTGGAGCCTTAAAAAATTGAGCCGCGTGTTTGCAAACTTCAGCAGGATTCCAGCACCACAGGTAGTGGCTCTGCCGCCCCCAGAATTAGCAGTAGGCCTACTCAACCAGAATACGTCTAGGATGTCCGTTCCCAACAAGAAGAAGCCGTCTTCTACCCTCGGTGAACTTTTTGGTGCCGGAAAAGGTTGGCTTTGCTGGAAAAGGACTTTCCGCACTTGAAACATGGAAACGACCTTTTACCGGAGTGAACACTGTGGTGGACTAGAAGGTCTGCCTTGGTGGAAAACGATTTCCCGCAGTCCTCACAAGCATATGGTCTTTCATCCGTGTGAACCCTCTGGTGGATCATAAGATGGTGGCTGAGGGAAAAAGACTTCCCGCACTCGTGGCAGGAGAAAGGTTTCTTGGCGGCGTGAGTTCTTACGTGCTGTTCGAGAGCAGAGGTATCCTTGAAACATTTCTGGCACCTAGGACAAGAGAAGGACTTCTTTGACCCATGAACCAGGACATGTTGGCAGAGGGAGCTCGTGGTGGGAAAATGTTCGCTGCACTGGAAACACACAAAAGGCTTCTTCCCCGTGTGAGACCTTTGATGGGTGAGAAGATTGACTCGGCTGGAAAAACATCTGCCACATTGGGAGCATGGAAAGGGTTTTTCTCCTGTGTGGGTCCGTTGGTGGTTCATGAGATGTTGTTTGAGGGCAAACGATCGGCCGCATTCGAGGCAAGGAAAAGGACGCTCCCCGGTGTGAATGAGAAGGTGCTTCTGGAGAGACCCTCTCTTTGAGAAGCGTCTTCTACATTCCAAACAATGGAAGGGCCTATCGCCCGTGTGGATTTTCCGATGTTCCCTTAGATACGGCCTGCGCGCAAAACGCTTTCCGCAGTCAGGGCAGGAAAATGGCTTTTCTTCTGCCTCAACATTCTCCTCTCCACAAGCTGGACCTTCAACATTTTCAGGGCCTGGATCTGGGCTGCCAATGTCTTGAACTTTCTGGCGTTTCCGAAGATGTGACACATGTCCCAAACGCTTCCCACCCTCAGACAAAGGAAATGGTTTATCTGTGGAGTCTCCAGCCTGGTGGTCGGCCCGACTAGGGTTACCTGGAACGCCACCGCTCATGTCAGCCAGGGCAAGCCCATTGCTACTTCCACCAGCCATGTTATTTGCTGCAGCTTCTACAGTCTCTACTGGACATTCCTTGGACTGTGGTGACCTTGTCGGGGTTGGAGAGGTCGTATCTGGGGTGATAGGGTTTTCTTCTGCATTAACCTCTGTCATGACTCCATCTTGTGTTTCACACCCTGGACCTGACTTGATAAGCTCTTCTGAGATATTCCCATCATTCTGACCATCTGTTCAACATAAAAAAAAGAAGAAATTTAAAAAAAACTCTAAAAAAACCTACAAAATACAGCTAGAGTCTAGTCAGCACATACACATTTTAGCATGGATGGGACTTTAGGCTCTTATCACATGATTCTTCTCCAAGGGGCCCACCATGAAATGTTCCCACCACAAAGCCATCATAGAGAAGAAGCATCTACTGTACTTTGTTGGTCAGTGAAATCTGCATCATATTCTACCTGAGCATATGTAGCTGCTTTCTACTTGCCTGTGCTGGTCTCTGGAGGAATGGTCTTACTTTTCTGATCCTCCCTGACACATGTCTCCTCTTTGTCATTAACGACTTCAGCCTCATTTTCAGTCAGAGTTTCATCCTTTATAATACAAGAATAATGCCTTGTAACTACTCCATCCAATGTGCACTCAAATCACATTGTGCAAGTTCATTATAGAATCAAACGGGGCCAACTTACCTGATGGTCCTTAGGGATCTCATGATGTTCCTGTGTGGAGTCCTGCGAGGACAAAGAACGGGCCTGAGGGATCTCCTGATGTTCCTGTGTGGAGTCCTGGGAGGACAAAGAACGGGTCTGAGGGATCTCCTGATGTTCCTGTGTGGAATCCCGGAAGCACAGAGGACCGGTCTGAAGGATCTCCTGATGTTCCTGTGTGGAATCCCGGGAGTACAGAGGACGAGCCTGAGGGATCTCATGATGTTCCTGTGTTGAATCCCGGGAGCAAAGAGGACGGGTCTGAGGGATCTCCTGATGTTCCTGTGTGGAATCCCGGAAGCACAGAGGACCGGTCTGAAGGATCTCCTGATGTTCCTGTGTGGAATCCCGGGAGTACAGAGGACGAGCCTGAGGGATCTCATGATGTTCCTGTGTTGAATCCCGGGAGCAAAGAGGACGGGTCTGAGGGATCTCCTGATGTTCCTGTGTGGAATCCCGGGAGCACAGAGGACCGGCTTGAGGGATCTCATGATGTTCCTGTGTGGAATCCCGGGAACACAGAGGATGGGTCTGAGGGATCTCCTGATGTTCCTGTGTGGAATCCCGGGAGCACAGAGGACCGGCTTGAGGGATCTCATGATGTTCCTGTGTGGAATCCCGTGAATACAGAGGACAGGGACATCTCTCTGGGGTATTTCTGTTCCTGGATCCATCTGTAGGAAACACACACACTGACTGAATACATTGTTTCTATGTCTTTATATCAGAGGATGTGTGTATCTAGGGGGTTCCTCAATACTCAAGAAATGAAAGTCTCCTCTTACCCGATGAGGAGACTGGCGGCTGGTTATCCATCATGGCGTCCTTGTAGAGATCCCTGTGTCCTTCTACATACTCCCACTCCTCCATGGAGAAATAGACGGAGACATCCTGACACCTTATAGGAACCTGACACACACAATGATACAGTCACCATCCAGACACATCCCTTGTCTGTTCCTGGATCATGTCCCAGAATTCCCGTCACCGCTCACCTCTCCTGTCAGCAGCTCGATGATCTTCTGGGTGACTTCTAGGATCTTCTTCTCATCATTTCTCTCAGGTGTCAGAGAGGGAGGTGGGGGATCCAAAAAGGGGTTCTGCATCTTTCTCAGGTTGGGCGCAACACAGCCATCAGACAGCTTGAAAGCAATATAATTCTGTATTGAACAGAAAGAAATACTAAAGATTATGGGATTATCTAACCAAATAGTATTCGTATAACCTTCACATTGTCTGTAAAGTGGGTGTTTTGGCAACAGGGATAAGAGTGATGTCATGTCACCTCCCAGAATCCTCCTCACCTCTCTGGTCAGGTCTGTATATTAATAATAGAGATCAGAGTGATGTCATGTGACCTCCCAGAATCCTCCTCACCTTTCCGGTCAGGTCTGTGTTTTATTACTAGAGATAAGAGTGATGTCATGTGACCTCCCAGAATCCTCCTCACCTCTCACTCCTGATGTTCCTGTGTGGAATCCCGGGAGCACAGAGGACCGGTCTGAGGGATCTCATGATGTTCCTGTGTGCAATCCCGGGAGTACAGAGGACGGGCCTGAGGGATCTCATGATGTTCCTGTGTGGAATCCCGGGAACACAGAGGATGGGTCTGAGGGATCTCCTGATGTTCCTGTGTGGAATCCCGGAAGCACAGAGGACCGGTCTGAAGGATCTCCTGATGTTCCTGTGTGGAATCCCGGGAGTACAGAGGACAAGCCTGAGGGATCTCATGATGTTCCTGTGTGGAATCCCGGGAACACAGAGGATGGGTCTGAGGGATCTCCTGATGTTCCTGTGTGGAATCCCGGGAGCACAGAGGACCGGCTTGAGGGATCTCATGATGTTCCTGTGTGGAATCCCGTGAATACAGAGGACAGGGACATCTCTCTGGGGTATTTCTGTTCCTGGATCCATCTGTAGGAAACACACACACTGACTGAATACATTGTTTCTATGTCTTTATATCAGAGGATGTGTGTATCTAGGGGGTTCCTCAATACTCAAGAAATGAAAGTCTCCTCTTACCCGATGAGGAGACTGGCGGCTGGTTATCCATCATGGCGTCCTTGTAGAGATCCCTGTGTCCTTCTACATACTCCCACTCCTCCATGGAGAAATAGACGGAGACATCCTGACACCTTATAGGAACCTGACACACACAATGATACAGTCACCATCCAGACACATCCCTTGTCTGTTCCTGGATCATGTCCCAGAATTCCCGTCACCGCTCACCTCTCCTGTCAGCAGCTCGATGATCTTCTGGGTGACTTCTAGGATCTTCTTCTCATCATTTCTCTCAGGTGTCAGAGAGGGAGGTGGGGGATCCAAAAAGGGGTTCTGCATCTTTCTCAGGTTGGGCGCAACACAGCCATCAGACAGCTTGAAAGCAATATAATTCTGTATTGAACAGAAAGAAATACTAAAGATTATGGGATTATCTAACCAAATAGTATTCGTATAACCTTCACATTGTCTGTAAAGTGGGTGTTTTGGCAACAGGGATAAGAGTGATGTCATGTCACCTCCCAGAATCCTCCTCACCTCTCTGGTCAGGTCTGTATATTAATAATAGAGATCAGAGTGATGTCATGTGACCTCCCAGAATCCTCCTCACCTCTCCAGTCCGGTCTGTGTTTTATTAATAGAGATAAAAGTGATGTCATGTGACCTCCCAGAATCCTCCTCACCTCTCCAGTCCGGTCTGTGTTTTATTAATAGAGATAAAAGTGATGTCATGTGACCTCCCAGAATCCTCCTCACCTCTCCAGTCAGGTCTGTGTTTTATTAATAGAGATAAGAGGGATGTCATGTGACCCTCCCAGAATCCTCCTCACCTCTCCGGTCAGCTGGTGGATGAACTCCAAGGTGAGGTGCAGTATCTTCTCAGTCAAGTGACCGCGGTGCTTGTCCATCCTAGTAGAGATAAAATTGTTGAGTTGAGCCTTTGGATGCCCATTGGGTGGTGAGTCATACACATGGGATCAATAAGACTTTGGGATAGATCCAGAACGGGAAGAGCTGGGACAGGAGATGTACAAGTCCTACTCAAGGACTCGGTAATAATCCAGAAAAGATGCCGGCATAGTCTGGATTGAGAGGAGGACATGTGCACAATACAAACCAATGGTCAGGGGACCAGGTTTCGACTTGGGCCCTGGATCTGGCCCAAATAAAGGGCTTTCCATCTTCATCTATAGAAGTCTTTATTACCCCCTCAACCCTCCCAGGGCAAATATTGCCATTCCCTGCAGGATCCAGGTTTTCACGTTACCACTCACCTTAAAAAGGACATGGATGATTACACTAAAAGGCAAACACACCACATTTAAGAATAAGTATTTTTTTTCCACGATCATCCATTAAAATAATATCAAATGTAATTTACCTGCAACTGGTTTCCTCTCCAACTTACAAGGAAATGGGTAGAGCTACTTCCTAGGGTGCGTTCCAATTCACTTCCTGTCAGTGCGTTTCACCTGACTTTCGTATTTGCGTTCCATCGGCCATGTCTGTGCGATCTCCGCCTGCTGGTCATTAGCTGGAACTACAGTCAGCCCATTACAACCAGCGGAGGTCGCTCTCGACGCACATCCATATATGGGCATTCTGGTGCCTACAGCGGAGCTTAGCCTGGACCAATCAGCGACCAGTAGGCGTGGTATTTGCTGTCCCGTGGCGGAGTGGTTGTTAGGGAAGCGCTGGCTGGCTGCGCCGTGAACCCGGAAGTGGGGGAAGAGCAGCCATTGGTTTCCTATCTGTGTGTGTTTTGAAGGCTTCAGGTGAGCCCAGTTGGGAAAATAAGCACGTGGATATTTTCGGGACGGGATTGTGTTAAAATGACACGAGAATTGGTAGAAATTGTATTAACCCTTTAAGTGCAATGTTGGGATGAACTGTAGCCATGGGAACCAGGTTTAATAGAACTACTCTTTTTTTTGTTTACATTCTTTTTTATTTTGGGATTAACTCCATAAAATACCTATTTGTAATGTTGCATTATTGATCGTCTATTCATTTCAATTTTTTTAATATGTTTATTAGCGGCCACGATAAAAAAAACAAAAAACACCAATATTCCTATTTCGTGAGCATGCAGTCTTGATGGGGTCTGGATTCACCATTAGGCCTATGTCTGTAGGAGTC